ACTATTAGGAATGTTCGTGATTTCATAATCACTTAAAAAAAATTAGAGCTAGTAACTAACTCTAATTAGTCTCTGATAAAATGATACACATTTACCGACCACTATTTAACAAGCACGGAAAAATAATGCATTAGTGATCTGCGATAACCAAGACGAGTAAAACAAGTTCAACCAAGGTGAATATAGATGACTTGGTATAAATACTAAAAACATACAAAGGTAAACACTACTAAAGCCTTTACACTGCTTGGAACTCCTCTGTGAATAAATTAGTTCATACAAAAAGAATCAAACAAAAATGGTATCACATGCAAACTATGCCAGCTAAAGCTCATATATCATAAGTTTACCACAAGATCTTTCCGGTGCAGATGACTCACTCAAAATGTGATTTTACAGAAACAGACAGGAAACACTGAATATCCGGCATGAGTACAAGAATAAACAATGAGGAAAACGATTCATTGGAAGTGTGTGCATGTCTTTACCTTGCACAGTTGGGTCGGCTTTATCCTTTGCTATAAAAGTATGTTTGGATGTGTAAGTATGTGTGTTTAGAGGTTGAGGAGCATTTGGTACTTCCCAGGTGTATTTTTGGGAACATTATCATGCATACCAGCTTGTGTGTAAATGTACATAGTAGCAGGTGCGATGCACACACACACTCTTTGTACCTTGTCAGCTGCAGCCAGCAGGTCATCAGCCATCTTGTCCAGGTTGGGGGCCTTGCCTGTGTAGATGAAGCACATCATCTCTTTGAAGACATCTGGCTCCACGTCATTTATCTCCACACGGTTCTGAACGGGTAGAGAGGACAGGAGAGGAGAATACACGCAGGGTTTAACAGAATAAAAGAAAAGAGAAGAAAAACAAACGCTTTGACAATCCTTCAAAACTATATATGGCAGCAGTGTCTTTTTTATTTCATGTAAATTTCCCAAAACCCACCTGACTTAAACTCTCTCACCTTGTTTAGCGCACACACACACACACCCACACACACACACACACACACAGTGATACAACAAAACATGTTCCAAAATCACAATCGAGAAAGAAAGAAAAAATAAACACCTTGAAGAACCTTCTGAGCAGTCAAAACACGTTTCAGCAAAACTACATTCTAGTAAATTTATTTAACTCTTTTCAGCAGATTCAGGAGAATTAATCCTGAGCATTCATTCCTTGACGGTGCCTGCAGCAATCAAAGTAGGCTTTATCGCTCTATGGCACAGTGACGGTAACCTGAACCTTTCCCCTCCACACTGACAAGAAGAACAAAGCAATAAACCAATTATAACAGTGCTTTATCGTCACCACAGTGACCAGCGGCGTTTTAGCAGGGTCAGACTGGGTGTACCAACAGTTTAGTGCATTTGTGTCAACTCTGACCACTCAACGCCAACATAATCATACTGAGAAATAATCGAAGCAGAGTCTAAAAGCTTCTGGTCTGAGCCTGCAGTCTGCCATGGTAGCCTTTTGCAGGAATGCACAAATCACACAAGCACATGAAGCCGTGAAAAAATTAGTAATTCTAACAGGCAAAATAACATCAATGTGTATAATATCAAAAACAACACACCTATTGTTTCTAAATTAACCTCAAACTCATCAGAATCGTTATATTTCTAATTCCTTTCCATTTTTTCTACACTTAACCAATTTCATTCTGCTAATTTCTAACGTGTGTTGGAGCGTTAATGAAATAAAAAAAGACATACTACCACCAAACTACCTTGGAAATCACACGAGAAAAAAACATAACAGGACTTTCTCGCGTAATGAGAAGGCAGTGCCCAACCAGGTCTCATAAATAGACACAACTCCTGTAGTTACAGTGTCTGAAGCTCCCCTCTATTCACAGAGCAGTCCTCTATCAGAGTGCTTCTTTATGAGCTCATTTGTCTCTTTTCTATAGAGTGCTGCAGAGGAGTGTTAACCCACCTATCTGTTTTCTCTGAGTCGTATGGGGACGTGGCCCACAATCTCTCCCTCTTTCTGATGAAGACGCCTACTTAAACAGCAATTAAGATGCATTTCCTGGCTCTGTGCTTTATAATTTCCCCATTTGAGCTCTGCAGGCATCAATATTCCGCTGACATGACGGCTAAATCACCACAGTTGAATCTCACCACCTCCTATCAGATCAACACAACCAACTGTGGCAGAGAGACTCAGTGCATCACACATGTACAAGCACACACAGACACAAACACTGTTTTGTTTCCATCACGTCAGACCTAAACATAACCCTATTTACACTAATTTCGTGACCAAGCCTCACTAAACCATGAACTAATTTAATTATTTGTATTATGAGGACTGGAGGGGGAATGGCATCAGAGACATATTTATGGGATTTATGGGAGAATTCTGAAATGCTCCCAAAGAGCAAATCAACAACAGAAACAGGAAACAAATGAGCCAATCACGCTGTTACACTGACACACGAGAGGTTCACGACCCTTTCAGTTTTCTGGTGGCAGATGCATCTTTCTGCTCATTATTGTAGCAAGGGAGTAGCTACTTTTTAGCTCCTGTATCCCTAATGTGCATTAGAACGGAAAAAAGCAGAGACACTGATGGTGCCACCACCCTGTTATAAAAGTGAGCGGCGGGCAAAAACCTTTATAGTTTATTTTGGGACAGGAAATAACTGCAATGATTCATTCCAGGATGGCTGTTGAGTTGCGACACTTGCCTCAAGAGGAACTTGGATTGCATTTACCTAACTTCACATAAATTTGCACATAAATCTTCAACGTTTTTTCCATCTCTTAAAAGTATTATCAAGCTACTCGCATGCAGAACTGTAGCAACAGGAAGCTTGAATCCACACCGTCAACCTGCTAATAACACTAATCAGTCACAATAGCTCTCAGAACTATTCATACCTCCACAGTACTTACACTTTAGTTTTACATAATTAAATAAGAAGTTATAGGAGAGGCAGAAAGTTATCACAACTAGCATCACCTTTCCATCATCTCCACTGTAAATAGGACGACGTCAGACAGGTTATTTAAAATACACCCTTATGACACCGACTCCTGCCTTATAACTGTCTGCAAACCACTTCCCTCTTTGGAGCAGTTAATATTCCCACTAGACTCTCTCTACTTTCCTTTAAAGGTCAGTACTGTCAAGACATTTTGCTACTGATCAATGGCACCTGTGCATGTGTTAAAGTTCACTAAAGTCAGAACTTATAAAAAAAAGCAACAAATTGAGCAGATTTACTGTGCCCATTTCATTAAATTAATGAATTTTGATGTGAGGTATGAACATTTTGAGCAGCAGCAACACCAGGCACAAACTGCAGCACAAAAAATGGCAAAAAGATATGTATATTAAAAAGATTAAAAAGGGATATCAAAAGGAAAACCAATTCCCTCATGACATTGTAATTGAGTTCCAGGAACAGAGTGATCATATTGAAAGCAACAGAGACTTCAGTCATTTTGTCTGATACAGTCTTGTTAAGTCTACAAATAACACGCTTTATGCCATCAAAGAAATATCAAAGCTTATACAAGTGATAATGATATAATCACTTAAGGATTTTTTCCATATAGTAGCTGTGATGACACCATATAATAGTCAGCAAGACATGAAGGAACATGTGCAGCCACACTTGTTTAAAGAGGCAAGTGCTTCCTGATGCAACAGAAGGAAAGATTGAAATTTAAACATTTGACTCACCGTGCACTGAGGGAGCAGGAGCGACAGAGTCAACTCACCTTCTTACTCTCTTCCATCTCGTGCTCAAACATGGCACTGAACACCGGCGAGCGAGCTGGGACAGAGAGAAACAAAAGGCCGAGACAGAGAAAAGAGGGTTTGTTATTGAGTGTAATGTTGATACACGGTGAGGTCTCTGATATCCGTTAACAGCTTGCCACAGGGCCAGAGGAGAGCAAGGACATGACTGACAGCAGTGACAGCAGTAGAGGCATCATGTGGAAAAAGTCAGCTCCTTTCTGCTGACAGACTCTTGACAGCCTTTCTCGTTTGTTTAGCCAGTATTCAACGTTGATGGGCCGACTTGAGTGTTGCTTATCTCATATATTATGCCCTAATAAAGATCTGTTTTCCTCTTTTAGTTGCACTTTCACTTGCTACCACTCAACTGCTATTTCTTTTTTCCCCCCCTTTCTTAGATATGGTTTTTCACACGGCTTTTGCATCACAGCACAGTCTACAAATCCTCTCAAGGAAAGTTCAGACTATTCTTCCATTTATAGAAAGTGATAAGCCGTGAGAGAGAAACAATGTAAAAGAGCTGCTGGTTATTTGCCAAGTCACAACAAGAAACAAAGAGGGTTTGCAATGAAAAATGTATTCTTATAATCCAAGTTCACACAGATTTCATATTGTATATTTTGCTAAAGACATTTTTGCACATTTTGACAATCTCCAAAATAACAAAGATAAAGTCTAGTAGGAAAAAAAGAAGCAAAAGCAATGACCCAATGGCCCTAAAATGGACATATTAATGTATTTAATGTTTTACGTATTTAGTGAAAGCTTAAGCACAGTGTTTTTCACTGTTGCTATCCCAGACGTGACCCCAGCTGGAGAGGTCATACTTAATCTCCAGTACAGGCAGAACATGACGGCCCAAACAGAGCTCTTTAAAATTTCAAATTACTGCTGTCTAATAATTCTGCAGGCTTAAAATAATCACCGCATCTTGTCCCTGTAGTTCTGCTTAAGGCAACAACACTGTATTTTCTCTCTTGTCGTCCCAGTGGTGACAGTGGTTAGTTTTGGCACAGAATAAAGCACAGCCTCACAGATGGAGCTTAGCCTGTACTTGATTTCCAGCTACTGTTATTACTAGTAGAGTAAGAATGTGTTCCTACAAAGGTAGACCTTGGCCTTTTACTCAGAGTCGCATATATACTATAGCCACGCTTTTCTGACATGGTTCGCTTAGTTTGATTATGCACTGAAAGGGTAACAGTTCACATTATTATTCAGAAGTGAATGCCTTATTAGCTAGTCATTAAAATCTAACAAATGTTGTAACACATTATTAAGTATGTGTCAAAGTCAGTGATATAATAATTAATTCAGACACTTAATAATGAGTTATTAACGCAAAGCTATCTAACCATTTAATTACTCATTGGGTTACACGGTCTCATCCATTAAAACTGCCAAAGCCACAAATAGCTATAATACTGTATAACTGAATAAGCATTAACAATGGACACTGAGGCTATAAGGTCAGAAACTCACTCGCTACAGGAGAATCTCAAATCCACTAAATAAAAATGGCTAACACTAAGCCTCTTAACATTTTCATACATGTTACTTACGACACGTTTAGAGTTTTAGCAAAGGTGGGACATTGGAAATAAATGGTGTTCATTTTAGTTACTTAAGTTGTCACAGTCATTTTACTATCGTAGAAGATAATTTGATGAGAAACAGACAAAATCTTAATCTTTGAAGTCCCATTGCCACAGGTTTATAAAAAAAAAATAAAAAAATCAAGCACCAAGCACTTATTTTGTAAGCGTATGGGGCATTCTTTAATAATAATGCAAGTCAGTTTTCAAATTCAAATTCAAAGCTTCCTTTAACATCAGCACAAAAACTGCAACAGGAGTTTCATGGCATGTGTTTCTGGGGCTGAGCAGCCAGTAGGTGTAATGAGTAGGCGGTCCAGAACTTCGTCTGATACAGTGTAAAAGTTTGTTCAATATCAAAGGAATTGCTCGTGTTCTCACACCAGTGAAAATGTTGAAACATTAAATAAATGATGGATAGCATCTTAACTATCAAGCTTGTTTAGTTGATAATGGAAATTCACATAACCTTCAAATATTCCTATTCTCTCGTCTCTTAGGAAGGATACTTCTTTTGTGTATATATGAGGTAAGACAAGCTAGCCACAAAATGTTTTTTGAGCAAATTTAGTTTTAAGAGAGTCTTGCTGTCCACAGGATATTAAGAAGTGCCATGTTAAAGACTTCAGCATACTTTATCCATCATGTATATGGATCCATAACTGAAGACGTAGTACTAATATCAGTACTCTTAGATGAAGTTAGAAAGTTTGGTCCTGTTACGCTTCAATGACTTGATCGGGAGTCCGCCTACCCTAGACATTCTCTCTGTCTTAATGTCTGCATGGAAACTAAGCTTTGCACTGAATGGCCTGGTAGGACTCTGGGAACAAATCTACACCAAGTCTGTCTGGTGCAGCTGGTGAGCTCATACTGCAGTAGCAAATCGAAGGGGTGGGTGAGAGAGAGAACGAATAAGGAAGAGGTCACAGTAAAGAAAGCATGGAAAAGAGAAAGGAAGGAAGGAAGAAGAGGGATGGACATGGGGAGAAAGCGGAACTGAGCACAATTTAAGAGGAGAGAAAAGCATGAAAACCACTGGGAAGACATTTAACAATCAGAAAGGCGCAGATAAAAGACAGGGAAAAGGAGATAAGAAAAGAATACAGTCAAAGGAAGATAATAAAGAATAAAAAAGGAGCAAAAAATAAAAAGCCTGAGTGAAAGAGAAAGAAGTAAGAAATGTAGAAGCGGGTATAAAATTAAGGTAAGCGACGGGAAGAGAGTGAGTTGTACAAAGATCACATGGCCAATGCACAGCCAATTTGAGTTACTCTCCCTACGCCATTTGATCCCACTCTGTCCGTCTCCACGGCGATTAACGGACAGCAGAGTTGTCACGGGAACAGCCTAGAGGGGGAGTAACGCGGAGGAGGTACGTCATCTGGACTGAGCGGAGAGAGAAAGCACGGTAGCAAGAGAGAAAGGGGAAGACCCCAAACCACAGCAGCACATAATTAAAATGGCTCCTCACACACACATTTCAACAAATCCAATAATGAACAGCCTCCCCTCGTCTCCACAGAGACACACAGTTCACCAGTTTCTTCAAACTTTTCACTAGCTGATGCTGGCTGTCATCAAAGTGCCAATATCTGAAACAAGTTTATGCTTGTCTGCATGAGAGTGTGAGAAACTTTATTTTCATCAATATGGATTCCTGAAGGCCAATGAAGACACACAGGTGCTGAAGGTGTCAATAGCGAATACGGATATTCAATGTATTCAAATTTAATCATCCCCGTGGCGAGCAAAATTATTCATCAAAATTAAAAATTTGATGAAGTATTTCCCCCAGAATTTAGTTCTCGTCACAGTGGAAAAGCCTCTGTAACAGCATTCACACCGAAACGAAAACTCTCCAGTGAAGCCTAGAATAATGACAGACTCCTCTATGAATAATAACAAACTCCACCACCCTCATAAAACTTTGAATTCAAAGTATTTTCATTTAAACGGTGGATTAGAGTGCGATGTCAATGAACTACTTTTTCATCAAATTTTAATATTTCAATTCAATCTAAATACAGACCAATTTTAACAAAGGCATTAGGTGTTATATTCTTTACCATCAGAGTAAATAAAAGAATAAAAGAAACAAGGTATATATATATATAAAATAAAACAGACCTTACTTAATTGAGGCCCTTTTCCCCCATTCGAGGCCACTTCTTTGTGTACCAATGGACCACTTTACATTTGGTTCTGACTATTTGCACTTGTGCATCTGCAATCTCACCACTGAATTCAAACCTGCTTAGACAGCAAACCTGAACTTCTGTGTCAAACTGACCTAGCATATATTGAGGGGCAGCAGTATGGCTTCATGCCGAGAAAGAGCACTACAAGCGCGATGTTTGCTTTGAGAGTGTTGATGAAGAAGTATAGAGAAGGTCAGAAAGAGCTCCACGGGGTCTCTGTAGGCCTTGAGGAAGCATATGATAGGGTGCCAAGAGAGGAACTATGGTACTGCATTAGAAAGTCAACAGCAGCAGAGAAGTATGTGAGGGTGGTGCAGGACATGTATGAGTCAAGCAAGCCACTGGTGAGGTGTGCAGTAGAAGTGTTAATTATGGAGCTGCCAGACAGAAGTAAAAGAGGAAGACCACAGAGAAGAATCATGAAGTAGGACATGCGAGGTTGGTAAAACACATATGACATGCTAGGGCCATGGTGAGATGGAGGCAGATGAGCTACTGTGGCTCCAAATAAAGGGAGAAACTAAAAAAACGGAAGCAGCAGCAGACTGGTGATCATGGCAGGTTTGTGGCTGAGACCAAGAGACCAAACAGCAGTAAGTCTGAAGGGAGAACTCAAGTCACAAGTCATTAGTTGACCTGAAACATGGTTCTTGTAGTCCATAATAACCTAAGGTATGGCAAAAATTTACCATAGCACACCTACACCAGGCTTACCAAAAAGGCTGATTTGTGGGGGGCTACAACAACAACAACAGGGTATTAGACCCCCATTTATATCAATGCAACTTCATCCTCTTCTCTAAAATTAAATTCAACTCGGGGGTGACCATCTTCATACAAAGAGGAAAAGAAGGCAAGCACCACAAACGTGATAAATGGTCAGAACTTCCAGGAAAGAATTTAAAAGGACACGTTGAAAGTGGTAGAGAGCTGCCCAAGTAAATAATCTTGAAGGAAGCATCATGAATTTAAATCGGATGTGTTTTTTGGACTGCATGTGCGACCATCAAACAAAACAAAAAAAAAGAGAATCCTAAAATGAATTTAATGCATCAGTGTTTAATGTGAAGTACTGTGCACAAAAACACATTGTCAAAAAGAAAAGACAAGTATACTCCTGGGAACAATCAACCAAATGTTGCCACTAGTCTAACAACACTAGCTGTTAGGATTAAAACAAACATTGCAAAGAAAGTTTGCCCATCGTTTGCCTATGGCATATCACTGTGTACTTTAGACAATGGTGTGATTGTTTTCTCAGCCCCCGCTGATTCCAAAGTTATATTGATGCAAAGTTTGATTAAAACAAGTCACTTGAATGTTCATAAAATGAACATGGCAGCTCCAGGCAACAATCAGTCATGTTTTATCTAACGGAAACCTCAGCGCTGTCAAATGAAGCCAACGTGTTGCAGTTTCTTAAAGGGGCACTTGTGGCTGGTTTAAAAAACAAAAATAAACAGTTTGTAATACAATTATCTGACAGACGATCCAAGATCATTCTTCATGGGTTTCCATCAGGGTTTTTTGCCATTGCTTGGCAACTCAGTTTCAGCAAGTTTCAGCTCTGTCAATTAATTTTCTATAGGACTGAGGTCTGGAGACCGTAATGTGCTTCTTCTTTAGGCTCCACTCTCCCTCTTTTTCAGAATTATTGTCTGACAATCTTAACTGATAATTTGTCTCTCACCAATAAATGAAACTACTATAAAAACTATACACGTGAAATAATTACTTCCCCTAATGTATGTATTATTGCAAAGAAGACATTAAAGTTGGACCACAAAAATTCTAAATGTCTTAATTTATTTATCAATCAATCATAAACTTCATTAAAAGCATTTTATCTTCACAGACAACACAAAGCAGTAAGTGTATTGCTTTAAACAACGTTTCCAGCTGGGTTTTAGCACCTGAAGGCTAAATATAAAGCTGTAGCAATAACCTCTTACACATGTGACAAAGGATATTCTCACCTGCCAATATGGCTTTGTGTGCCTGGAATTTCTGGCCAGCAACACACAGGGAGCAGTCGGTGAATCTGGAGCTTGCCCACAGATCTCCAAGTTCTTCCGCCAGCCTGCAGTCAGGAACCCTCACCATGTTCATGGTGTTCTGGCCTGAGATATTCACAGAGTCTTGCACTACGCTCACCTGAAAAGACACACACACACGTTTACAGATTACCCCCCCATGTCGTAAATTTTGTGCCCTTTTTATTGTGTAAATCGGAATAACTCGTTTTAGAGTGAATAGTTCCTTTAGCACACTGACTGGTTCACACAGAGGCAAATAAACAGCATGCAATGTTCATAAAAGGAAAATAAATCGGTAAATCAAACATGCTGTGAATGCTTAATGTGGGTTCACTGTCTCTGTAATCAATACATCAGCCACTCAGTATGGAAGTAATTTGAAGAAAACCTATTGTTCCTTCTTTATCAAATCAGACTGGCTACACTCCCAAACAATCCAAAAAACCCGCATTGAAGTCAAATTGGGAGTGCCAGTATGTGTGTGTGTGCATGAGAGTTGTCTGTATGTCTTCCCTGCTGACTTCACCACCTGTTCCAGACAATGTCAACCAGACTCATTTATCTCTCAACAGGACTCACTGCAAACACACACAAACAAGCAGGCTCATGAGCACAAACACACCCACATATTCACACACACACTAATTACTAAGTAATTTCCAACAGACTGGATTGACTGACTTGCAGTTTTTCACCTGCCTGGAGTGCAATCTAATCAAAGAGAAAAATTAGCTAGCTATAGCCTGGTTTGGAACATTCTGTAGTTAGTTAATTAATTAGTTAGTTGTCTGGCTTTCGATTCATGACAGATTAGTCTAGTAATGACGAAGTCCAGAGTCATTCTAGCTAGCATCCGCGGAGTGAGGGTTAAACGGTGAAGGATTATTAACTGAGTTCCAATAATAAACTAAAACTAATGGTCTAGTTAATTTTGTTGAAATTATTGGAAGATGTCCTGTTCTGATTGGATTAATATAATTCATTGACAAAGTTACCAAGGCTACAACTTTGGTGTCAAAGAATTAATTTCAAAGAATAAAGAATATGGCTCATATTACCAATTATGATAAATTGTCAGTGTTCAACAAAGTCTCCTTTAGTTCACAACTTGTAAATTAATGTGTTTTAAATTGTCTAGCCGAGGGCTCAGTAAATTGTCAAATTAAGATTTGGCTAGTTTTCTGTTATTATAGGACATTAAGGCCATACTCCCCAACTGGGTTGCTTTCTTTTTCCTTTAAATTAGGCCTTTTAGGGTCAGGTAAGTTTACGGACACTGTAATGACACTATATTATGATTTTTTGAAAAGAAGTGATCCCACTCGTAGTTTTTTATACTTGTAACCATTTGATTAAAGAAAAGCTGAATCGTATTATTATTACTATTACTGTATAATTTTCAAAAATGGCACAATGGAACAGTGGTTAGCACAGTCACCTCATAGCAAGAAAATCCTGGGTTTGAATCCAGCCTGAGGCCGTTCTCTGCAGAGCCTGCATGGGTTCTCTCCAGTTAATCTGACGTCCTTCCACAGTCCAAAGAATGTATGGGGTTGGGTTAACTGGTCATTCTGAACTGGCTAAAGATGTAAAGTAAGCATAAACGATTGTCTGTCTTTGTGTTAGCCCTGTGATAAATTGGTGACCTGTCCAGGGTGTACCATGGACGGGTGCCCTATGACATCTGGCACAGCCAAAACTCTGGATGGATAGATTCTAAACATGATTTCATTAGAATATTATTGATTTTCAGGCTAAGCACTCTTGCATTCAACAAAACACTATTCAGAGACTTCTGACATGTTTTTTCTATCAACTTAAATAAATGTATTTTGTCATAGCTGGCAGTATTGGTGGTGGATGGAAAATGAAATTTGCAGGACTTGGTTTTCAGTTACATTTAACACCACAATTAAGAGCTACGGGGCACCTGACACCTGATAAATAAAAGGACGCTTGTTCTCCTGTTTTTCTCGCTGACACCTTCGAATAGCTTTCAGTAAACTATTGTCAAGAACAAGGCCAAAAATCCCAAAACATCCCACAAAGTGACCTTGCTGTTAAAGCATCAGCAACTGAGGCTGACACCCAAAAATCCATAAAAAAATAAATAAATAAATAAACTAAATTACAGCCCGGTTCCCTTCTCATCCATCCCCATTCAACCATCAGCCCACCTATTCGTCCAATGCCACATCCATCCACCTATTCAAAGAACACAAAAAGAGTCCTAGAAAAGGAGGAAAAGTGCATACAATAGAGAAGTACGTGGCAAGCAGGAAATTGAATGTCAAGGAGCCTTATTTGCTCCTGATGGAGGTTTGAGGGTTAGCCTGAAGGGGACAGAAAGACAGACTGATAATAAAACAGAAGAGTAAGAAAAGCAGGAGATTGGGGGGGAGGGGCAGATATGGAGATAATAAAAGTGGAGAGAATACAGATGCAGAGATACCAAGCGACAGACAGACAGAATAGAGAGAAGCCATCACACACAAAAGAGCTAGGAGTGAGTGAGCCATTGGTGGGATCTACAGTTGAAGATGACCTCTCATAGTAGCAGCTCATTCCTGGTACAGAAATGACAGGGACAGTGTGAAGAAAACGTGACTATTCTGAAGAAGGAGAATTCAAAGCATTCCTGTGTGTGAGACAGTCTGGTTTCCACAGCTGGGCCTATTATTCACACTCCTAGGAGATGCAGGTTTGACTGACATATGTACATCTCAACACACTGACAGATGGGAACTAAAAATAAAGCCACATTCACACGAGAAAGAGACATTCCTGTGCACAGACTTTGGCATTCATAAAACACTGATTAGTAATACAGAAGGCCTGGTAGATAGGGATTTGCTGCGTATAAGGGAGGAACAGGAGGAAAAACAGAAGAGAGAGACAGACGCACAGGCAAAGACAAAGAGGGCGGAGGACAGAAGTTCACTGAGCTCAAGCTGGAATGAAAAATGGCTTTAGGAGGAGAAGAGGAGGAGAGAGGGGAGAGTCCAGAGCTGTGTCCTGAGTACCCACTGAATAAAATAAACAAGTGCTGAAAAGCGAATTGGAAGGGAAGCCTGGAAGCTTGGTCCGTGCGTTTCGGTATAAATAGCCCAATTAGTATGGTGGAGCCGTCGTTGGGCTTTTAGATGCAGTGTGGCAGAGCCGGTCTAATTACTGGCTAACTTGACCAATTATTTCACTGTTTAACCAGGCAGAAACTAAATCGCAGCACCTGGTTATTTAGACACACTGGCTGCCCAGACAGTCTTCACACCATTAGCTGTCATCTTCAGTCATTGTCAGCTTCCTCCTGCTTGCATTTTCCCCACTCGAAAACAATTCTCATAGTGATTGAGCAGACAACATTCCTAACCATGTATACACTTGATCTTAATTCAGTCTTACAATAAGTATACTTTGTCATCTTAAGTCTTCACTTATTTTAGTAGAGATGGGTGAATGCTTTGTGATGAGTTATTTGTCACCTGACAACAAAAATGTAAGTCCTCCCAAGAAAAAGGCATTAGTGTTCAACATCTTAATAAATGTTAAAAACACATATACAGACTGTGTGACTCTTTCGCATCGAGATTTCCTCAGTGAAATTATAAACTCCACTAACAGACGGTATATAAAGATGAACGTAGCCTCCAGGTCTGTGAAGCCAATGCATTAGTGAATTAAATCCTCATCGTTTCCAAGCAGGGGGTGAGTCCCTTTATAGAAGTCTAAGGACACAATCGTGCTGCTTGCGTGATTTATGGGTTTTATTGTTAGTTTCTAGTTTTTTTTTTCTTAGTACAGCATCACATTAATTGTCTAAGTTGTGCTCCCCACCTAGCAGTTGACAAGTACCAACTGTATGAAAGCTCTCAGTCACATCACATCCGGCTTCAGCAAAGCAAAAGCTCAGGTGCAGGCTTCAAAACAGCTGGATGATGTCACACTAGTTGTTTTATATGTTTTTATATGAAGTCCAACTTGTTATAAGAGAGCCACAGTCATGACATCCTCCCATCCTCATATCGTTTTTAATTAATATTAGATTGTTCAGGAAAACGTGTGGAGGCATCCCGGGTAAATGTAGTTTTTTCTTTAAAGATACCTCAGTAATGGAGTGTTAACTGAATGTTGGTCAATATCACAATTTTAATATCGACTTTGATTCTAAAGTTTGAGTTTTGGTGTCAACGAGGTCAATAAGAATGATCCCTCAGAGGAAAACTCCATAGTAACTCTGCCAGCAGTGCAATTCAATGCAATGAAAGAACTGAATTAACCAACCAACCAACTAAATGATTGACTGATTTGTATTTATTACCCAGTAGTTATACTGATGATTATCATGATGATGACGACAGAAACCACTTATGTATACAACCTTAGGTAAGAAAATAACAGTAATGAAGAATCATTGCAGCTATATCACCACAATCATCATTTGTTTTGGTAATTAAGTTCCAGAGATAAGTACTTACTAAAGCGCTTGCCTCCCAGTTAGTTCCTCAGACATCAAGATGAATCTCATTGTAAACCCTCCAGGCAACGCAGAGTTAATATTGAGTTTCAGCACCCAGATGATTTATTCATAATGCATCAATCTTTTTCTGCCTGTTTATGTGTTTGTTTATGGATTTAAAGTGTTTTGCCATGCGTGAAATAGTTCGAAAAAGGAAAAAAAAGAGATTCAAATCAAATGAAATTCATTAAGTTCTGGAACACTTGTTCCTTTACCTGCCAAGACTCATTTTCTCGGTGCAGTCCTTTGCATTCACAAACACGTAAACACGGGCCGAGATGACGGACGAAGCAGACGGACATATGGACAGATGCATGCATACATACACTCACCTCAGCAAACTACACACTTTCTCACACATATGACAGGACACTACTTGCTGCCGATGTATTATTTTTTTTTAAAAAGTGTAATTTCCTTCTGTTATTTTTTACCATAGATAATTTGCATAAATATTATTTGACTTTCCACACAACATAGTTTTAATGACCTGCTTTGAGTGAAGGCAAACTTCTAACCTAGTCTGGCTTCCATCCTCTGCATAGCACCGAAACTGCTCTTATAAAAATAACAAACGACCTTCTTATGGCAGCTGATT